AGGGAGAAGGGTGCAACAATGAATGAATGGAATCCCAAAATCTCTGTAGATGTTCACTGAAATGAAAAATAAACAACCTAAATTAAAAAAAAATTCAGAATTAAAAAAAAAAAAGAAATAGCGATGTCAGTCTAGAGACCAAGATGCGCCTGATTCAGGCCATGGTCTTTGCAATTATTTCCTATGCATCAGAGAGCTGGACAATGACTAACGATGACAGAAAAAGAATCGATGTCTTTGAGTTGTGGTGCTGGAGAACAGTCCTGAATATACCATAGACTGCCAGGAGGATGAACAGGTCTCTCTTGGAGAGGGTGAAAACAAGTTTCCCCTTGGAGGCTAGGACTTTGAAGCTGTCTCATATACTTTGGGCACATGGCCAGGAGGGACTGGTCCTTGGAGAAGGACATCATGCTTGGAAGGGTAGAGGGACAGTGCAGGAGAGGAAGACCCTCCAGATGAGATGGATTGGTAGTTTTATCAGAGTCAGTGAGACTGGCTTTGGACAGGGCAGGCTTCAGATCTGTTGTACACAGGGTTGTTATGAGTTGCAGGAGACATGACAGCACATAACAACAATAACCTATACTAAAACAAGTGGAGGTAGAAAATCTAAATAGATTTTCAACAAAATAAGAAATTGCTTTAAAAAATAAGCAGACAAAACAAAACAAAAAAAAAGTCTCAATAGCAAACAATCCTTTTACCAAAACCATGCAAGAGGACACTACTAAAAAAAAGAAAAAAAAAGTCAGAAGATATCTCATGGAAATAAATGCAAAAATTTTCAATAAAATCCTATTCAACAGAATTCAACATCATATAAAAAAATAATACATCATGATCAAGTGGGATTCATATTAGGTATGCAAGATGGTTTAATATTAGAAAAAAGATCAGTGTAATCCACTACATCAATAAAACGAAGAAAAAGAGCCACAAGATCATTTCAATTGATGAACAAAAGGCATCTGTCAAAATTCCACACCACTGCTGATACAAGGTATAGATAGCATAAGAACATAATCCTAGCATACAACTTTCCTGATTTTAATCCATGTAGTAATTTAAGAAGCTGTACTATATAAAGAAGAATGTAGAGTCAGAATTGGAGGAAGACTCAGCGACAACTTATGTTAGGCAGATGACACAACCTTTCTTGCAAAAAGCACTTGAAGCACTTACTGAAGATCAAAGAGTATAGCCTTCAATATGGAGTACATCTCAATATCAAGAAAACAAAAATCCTTACCACTAGACCGACAGGAAACATCATGACAATGGAGAAAAGACTGAAGCTGACAATGATCTCATTTTACTTGGATATATAATCAACATCTGTGGTAAGAGCAGTCAAGAATTGTAAACATGGGTCGTACTGGGAAAATCTGCTACCAAGGACCACTTTAGAGTGCCAAAGAGAAGAATGCTGGTTTAAAGACTAAAGTGCAACTAACCCAAGTGAAGTTTATTTGCTATTGCTTCATACACATGTGAGAGTTGAACAATGAAAAAAGAAGACCAAGAAGGAATTGACACTTTTACGTATGGTGGTGGCAAAGAATATTAATATTAAATATCATGTATTGCTAAAAAACCCCACACAAATAAATGTCTTAGAATAAGTGCAACCTTGGAAGAAGGGATGGTGATACTCGTTCTCACATACTTTGAGTATGTTGTCAGGAGGTGTCAGTCCTTAGAGACATCATGTGAGCAAAAGTAAAGAGTCACCAAAAGAGAAGACAATTCTCCACAAGATGGACTTACACAGTAACTGAAACTAAAGGCTTGAGCATAGTGCATGCAGATTGTGAGATGGTTCAGGACAGGGCAGGGTTCCCATGTGTTTATCATG